TATATATTGTTGACTAATTGTCCATTTTGTCAGATCTTTGCCGTTGTTACTGGTCATTTATTTACAAATTAATAAATTCTTGCTTAGATAGTGAACAAGAAATAATAACAAAATTTTTATTTCAGGTTATTTCATTTGACTTGATATAAACTGAGATATACTGAGAAATCTTATATAATATGTTGCTTGAAATTGCTTAATTAAATAACTGAAAAATAGCTTCGTGGATCGAATTAATATCAAAACTTTTTATAATCATTTTCACTTTATAACCTTTTTGTTAATGATACAGTATTTCATCGTTAAAGGTAGATATATTTAATATTCACAATAAGAAGTAATTGAAATGGCCAATGTAACATAACTTAGACAGAATATATTATGTAATCGCGTATAATCTTAAGTATCTTAGCATAATAGTTAAGGCCTAGTAAGGAATTTTAACGAGACATTCTGTCATTACTGCATACGATATGTTTTAGGAATATCATCCTCTAGGTATCCTAGTACAGGTATCTATGAAAAATGTTACTAGTATTTGTGATTAAATGCCTCAAAAATAATATAATAAGAACAATATACAACTTCTTATTAACTTGTCACATTTTAAACTTTGCGACAAAGAAATATAAAGTAAAAGACTATTAGTAACGACTGACTTAAACGCTCTTTTACTAAACTTTAAACACACATAGCAAGGTACCGTAAAGATAGAAATTTTATTAGCATAGACACATCTACAACTTTTTACAATACAGCTCAACTCAAATATTCTCGTTTACATTGGAAGCGTCTAATTTTTAAAATGACAACAGCATTACAATTATACCTTTCAAGGATGGCTGTCTCGAACTGAGATGTTCCTTATATAACTTTTCTATCAGTAAATATTTTTAACCTATTACTCATACTTAATCTTAATCTAAGCATGTATGTTGTCTAGTCCAACTATCATTAGCTAGAAATTGAATCATTTTACTACTATCTACACTTAATAAGAATCAATATCAAATATGTAATAAAATATCACAATAATATCAACGTTAAGCCATTACTTATCTTACCTAGCACTACAAATATGGATATTTTCCGTATTAGCTACTAATGCACTGCTAAATATCCTAACGGTAAGATAGCCCCGTAATATAACTCTGTTTTATTATACTAATTCGTTCTTTTAGTAGGAATATCCACTCTATCTTAGCGGTGTTAATATAATTTACTGTACATACACGCATATACGTCAAGTTACCAAGTTATTTGCCGGCGTTGAAATCTTTAATACACTGTATGGATTGTTTATATTGCTCTTCCTTTACTGACATAGTTTGATCTAATTTTGACGATACCTAAGCATGGTAAAAGCATCACGGCTAGAATGCTATTTATTGTCGTGTGTACTATTGATACAGTATATCCTTCAATAAATGCTAGCACCACCTTGATACCTTGGCTTGAAAAAGAAGATTAAGCTTGGGACTGCAATACAGTATCACCCTGTCACGGTACGAACTACCGTGAAGAAATAGCTATCTAAATTTGGTTAATATAATATAGTGATAATATATTACATCTAGTTCCTTACAATAGGAATTACTCTAATTATAAATGTGTTACAGTAAATTTAATGCTGTGCTGTAATGTGTACTGAAATGATTCTGTGAATGGACGTATTGTAGTCCGACTGTGAAAAACTAGTTAGTAGATGTTCTCACCTAAGTATTTTTATAAGATGACTTGTGAATGTTAGCTGCTGTAGAAGGGTAGTAGGTTTAATGCATGAGATTACAGCATTGTTGGTCAACATAGCCAAAATAGGCGTTATCTGGTAAAATTATTAATAAAAAGTGGCATAATTATATTGGGCTATAGACTGCATAAATAGAATATGAAAGTTATTATTGGTTAAGCTGAATTAGCTGAAGGTGTCTGTGGATCGAAATGATTAATATTGCAACCCATTTGACAACAACTAATGAAATATGTTTTCTAGAATCCATGTCCTATTTTTAGAAGCAGTCTAAAATTTTGCCGTTAATGAACGCATCAAGATCTTGATACGTTAATACTGTATCTTGGTGTCACGGTACGAACTACCGTGAAGAAATAGCTATCTAAATTTGGTTAATATAGTATAGTGATATTATATACAACTAGTTACTTACAATAGGAATTACTCTAATTATAAATGTGTTACAGTAAATTTATTGCTGTGCTGTAATGTGTGCTGAAATGATTCTGTGAATGAACATATTGTAGTCCGACTGTGAAAAACTAGTTAGTAGATGTTCTCACCCAAGTATTATTATAAGATGACTTGTGAATGTTAGCTGCTGTAGAAGGGTATATAAACCCGTCAGATAGTTGAATAAAGCAGTTCTCAATTGTATAGTTGTTTTAACGTAGAATCAAAGGCGTCTAAATTCTTGTAAGTAGGGATACTGAATCCCGGAGACTATAGTAATTTAGGGATTTGTTTTACGTTATACTTGTCACGAAGTTGGTTTGTGACACTTGGATGTTAATACTCGTATTCTAATTAAAATATTCAGCTATTCCATTATTCTATTTTATACAATTTTACGTAAACAAGTTCATCAAATCGAACCCTTAAAAGTGTACGAGTAATAGCATTGACTTTGAGCATTTTTATGTTATTGACGAGTATTTTATCCCGAGAACATAACCTTGAAATTCTCCGATGAAACAGAGGTAGACAATAAATAGTATCTGTTCTGCAACTTATAAAATTCATAATTTGGCAATGGGATGAATTATTCCATCTTCAATTATCGGTTTAATTATGTAACAAGCTATTCTATATAACAGTTAGTCTGATTCAATCTGGCATTAGTAGAATCTTACTAAGAATTGTCACAAACCAGCTTCGTGACAAGGATAACGTAAAACAAATCTCTAAAATCTGCGAATTCAGTATCCCTACTCACAAGAATTTAGACGCCTTTGATTCTACGTTAAACTCAACTAGACAATTGAGAACTACTTAATTCAACTATCTGATGAGCTTATACACCCTTCTACAGCAGCTAACATTCACAAGTCATCTTATAAAAATACTTAGGTGAGAACATCTACTAACTAGTTTTTCACAGTCGGACTACAATATGTCCATTCACAGAATCATTTTAGTGCACATTACAGCACATAATTAAATTTACTGTAACACATTTATAATTAGAGTAATTCCTTTTATAAGTAACTAGTTGTAATATATTATCACTATATTATATTCGCCAAATTTAGATAGCTATTTCTTTACATTAGTTCGTACCGTGACAGAATC